TGAACGGAGAAGTGGTGCCTCGATGCGCACCCGGGATCCGAACCCGGGCCACCAGCATCGCAGCGCGCGCACTTAACCACCAAGCCACAGGGCCGGCCCTGTTAGTCGCTTTAAGCTTCCCTTGCCTGCCTGGTCCGGGAGCTCTTTGAGAGCACAGCGTTTCTCGTGTTCATCCAGGTAGTCATAGCGCCTTCCATATAGTTAGTTGAATGAAGTGTGTGATTGCATTTTAGTGCTTTTTTTATCCTTGCCTTTTCTGATTAGGACCTCTATTTCTCTTAAAGGTAAATTACTTATTTTTTTTTTAATTAAACTCGTTCTTCTTTTAAAATTTTATAAGAATTTTGCGATTTGTCGATGGGCATGTTTCCTCAAAATTATAACTGAAGTTACCCGATTTAGTTACCCTGAAGACTATTTTTCTGATGATCTTGCACATCCTTCTCCCTTCTTGTCATTTTACATTTTCTCGAAACTATTCATAGTCTTCGTAATCTCTTCTACTGCAGCCTAATATTGTTGGGCTTAGACAGGAAGTATGACAGGTCCACTTCTGCAAACATGGAACTTGAACTAGATCATCATAAGTCAGTGCTACTGTAATCTTTAGGCGGTACAGGACCTCTGAAGCTGAGTGTAACCAAATCTGGCATTACAAGCTTATTCTGTATAAAGTTGCCAGTGAACTGGAGAGTGTGCTGTATTAGAAACAGTCTAGGTCTAATCTAGGAACCAGAATGTAGTGTCATTTGCCTCATATATAAGATAAAATGGGGATAATAACACCACAACTTTATATCTCACATGTTGGTTGGAACATACGAGATGATGAATGTGCAGGTGGTTAGTAAATGTGAAAAGCACTCTTTGGAAACGTGGTTCTGTTCATTCCATCTGGAGTAGTGCTGGTAGATGGAGCAGCAGGAGGAAGGCTTCTAAGAAAGGACGTGTATGTAGCCAGATCCGATAAATTAACCTTGGCTGACAGTGGATTGAAAGATGTCTTTTTGGGGCCCACCCGGTGGCATAGTGGTTGGGTTCACGCTTTCCACTTCAGCGGCCCGGGGTTTGCGGGTTCGGATTCCGGGCGGGGACCTGCTCACTGCTCATCAAGCCATGCTGAGGCAGCGTCCCGCATAGAAGAGCCACACCTCTACAACTGTGATACACAACTATGTACTAGGGCTTTGGGGAGGGAAAAAAAAAAAGGAAGATTGGCAACAGATGTTAGTGCAGGGCCAATCTTCCTCAAAAAAAAAAAAAGTCTTTTTAAGCTTACATCCTATAAAACAGAATACTAGTATAATATGATGATAGTAATATTCCAAAATTATAATTTTATATTACAACTAATATTTATAACTCTACAGCAAGGTGTTAGAAATCAGTTATTAGACTTTAATCGTTTTAAAGATCTCAGAGCATCTCCAGCATGTTCTGCATACTGATAATTTAATAAATGTACCTTTTATAGGAGACATAATTATCCTTTGCTTTATTTTCACAATTTTAAGAAAAGTTGGCACCATTGTAATTTTTCTTGAATTTTGTGTTAACATTCCTGATGAAGTATCTCATTTCATTCTTTTTTTTTAATTGAGGTATAATTGACATAACATTAGTTTCAGGTATACCACATAATTCGATATTTGTATATATTGTGAAGTGATCACCACAATAAGTCTAGTTAACATCCATCACACATAGTTATAAATATTTTGTGATGAGAACTTTTAAAGTTTACTCTGTTAGCAACTTTCAAATATGTAATATAGTATTCTTAACTATAGTCACCATGCTGTACATTACATCCCCAGGACTTACTTATTTTTCAAGTGGAAGTTTGTACCTTTTGACCCCCTTCATCCATTTCACCCACCCTCTGCCTTTGGCAACTACCAATCTGTTCTCTATCTATCAGCTTTCTTTTTTTTTATTTTTGATTCCACATGTAAGAGAGATCATATGGTATTTGCTTTTCTCTGTCTTGACTTAGTTCACTTAGCATAATGCCGTTAAGGTCCATCCATGTTGTCACAAATGGCAAGATATCATTCTTTTTTATGGCCAAATAATATTTGTGTGTGTGCATGTGTGTATCACATTTTCTTTAGCCATTCATGCATCAAAGGGTACTTAAGTTGCTTCCATAGCTTGGCTGTTGTAAATAATGCTGCGGTGAACTTGGGGGTGCATATATCTTTTTGAGATAGTGATTTCACTTCCTTCAGATAAATACCCAGAAGTGGAATTCATATGGTAGTTCTATTTTTAATTTTTTGAGGACCCTCGCTACTGTTTTCCATAGTGGCTCCACCAATTTACATTCCCCAAAACAGTGCACAAGGGGTCCCTTTTCTCCACATCTTTGCCAACACTTATTTCTTGTCTTTTTGATAATAACCATTCTAACAGATGTGAGGTTATATCTCATTGTGTCATTTCGTTCTTAAAAACCTACATGACCTTGCTCTCAAGGAAGCAAGCATACAGGATTTTTCTGTAGGTGTATTTCTCATAAAGGATTTTTCTTCATAAACATATAGGCTGGCCTAAAGTATTTTTCTGTAGTGCAACCAGTGTTGCCAACCTCAGAGGAAAAAGTGAACACACATTAAGTCCTTTCATTTAGATGGGAAAAGTGAAAGGCTTGCTTGGGCATTTCCTTCTGCCAACTGTAATTGATTTCAGCATCGATGGTGATTACTAGCATCTGTTCTACCAGCATTGTTAAACTACATAATGGTAAAGTTGCCACGTATAATTATAATTTACAATTCAGACAGTTCTAAATATTATCTTAATATTTAATTTTTGCTTATATTGCTAAGCTGCATAGGGAAATCCCCTTCCTCATTTTGGTTGAATTTACCACCAGACCTCCCTTCTGAAGCTGTGTCAGGAGCTTGATTTTCAACCTCACTGAGGTCAGTGGCTGTTTTGAATTTATCTCCGTGACCTCCACTGATAACTGGCATAAATAATGATGTGCCACCACTACCACAAGTCTGTTGAGACATCAGGTTATTCCTGTTGCATTAGGTTGTTTTAACAAATGGCATCTTAAAGTGTTATTTCCCCATTCTAGTTTACCAAATCTGTGAACAAAAAATGGGAAACAACCACAGTTAACTTGTAAGTCAGCAATATCCTGATTTCTTTCAAAGTGGTTGTTCTTATATTGCTCTTTCTTGTTTGTTTCCTGTTCTTACAGCTGCTGATGATAAAGTGCTTCCAAGAACAGTACTCTCTCAATTGTTTAAACTTTTTATCTACCTGGTGTGCTTTTCCCCCTAAAATTCGTAATGAAATGTTTGAGTGAATCTATCTTCATCTCTCCTCCTAGGTTCTGTTTAACTGGCTTAATTATTTATCCCCAAACTAAATATCCTTGTCCATATGCTGTGGTGTGTTAACATCACATGATTCAATATGATATTAAAGTAAAAATTGAATGAATCTGCTGAGAGAGCTGAAGGACTTGGGCTCTCTGTGTTAAGAGGAACTATTTTCGAGTGATAGACTTGTTCAAGTGGGAAAGCTGCTAAAAGACATGGTTTGTCTTCTAGAATTTCACAAAATATATATTTCCTCTTACAAACGAGGAATAATTTTAACAACAGAAATTGATATTGCATGTATGTGGGTTCTCCAAATATTTTCGTTATACTTTTTGGGGGGGGTAACACATAACAGGAAGCCTATTTAATAAGAAAAATAAGCCTAAGAGATTGGGCAAAACAAAGGCTTGCTATCCAGTATTGTACCTTTCAGTTAAATATTTATTCATTTAACTAATATTTACAGGCCTATTTTGTGCCAGGTACCACTAGGTGTTGGAAGTATAGCAGGAGCAGCTTGCAGTCACTGCTTTTATTTTTGAAATACTAAATATTTTTCTGAGTATGTGGGATATTTGAAAAAGACACTCAGAACATCCTATTTTTCCAACACCCAGTGAAAAGGTGAGACAAGATAGTAGAAAGCTTTTCTGATTATTGAATTTAGGAAAATGTATTAGTTCACTTTGGAGTGGGTATCACAGAGTTGAGAAAACATTGAGAAGTATAGTGAGTTAAAAATTTGAAAGAGACTGTCAGTTTTCAACCTTTAGTAATAGAATGCTTCAGTCTCACTTGAGCATTAATTCTAGAGTAACAAGTATTAAGTATTTGGTGCTTGTTGGCCATAATTTTGGGGTCTTTTCTACTAGTTCTGTGTTCCAAGTAGAAGAGATTGTTTGGTAAGGTAGATATGCCTTTTTTGTTCATTTTCCTCTCTACAGAGAGGAAAGCTGTCAGAATAATCTGTGAAGTCATCATTGAAGATGTGTGTTGATTACTTTAAAATTAGAAACAGAGAAACTAAGTCAGTCAAGATTATTGTACTTGAAGTGTGTTTTGCAGTAATTTCTCAAAATTACCTGGCTCGGTGTTTTCCCAGAGAATTAAAAGTGCCTTACTCCTGTATATAAATTAACTGGCTTTTCCAAGCAAATACGTTGGTGAGGAAAAGACAGCATTTGCCATTTTTTTGTGCTTGCAAGTGGGTCCTCAAAAATTTAAACCTTTTGAGAATGTTTGAAGCCTTCCCTTGAGCATAAGTAAGAAGAGACCCTCCCAGTCTTGGCAGAGATATGAATTTAGTTTACCATGTGAAATCTAACACTTTAGAAAATTTCCAGGGTAATTTTGTTGTTATTGTTCTGGAACATAACGCATTTTTTGTACAACTTTGTGCATCTGTTAAATGTTGTAATGACATAGCAAATAAGGCAACCATAAAATATGACCACATCTTTGTTTTAGAAGACTAGTTGAAGTGAACATGAACAGCTGCCACCATTTGTTTTGTTTTTTTGCTGAGGAAGATTAGCCCTGAGCTAACATCTATGCCAGTCTTCCTCTATTTTGTATGTGGGTCGCCACCACAGCGTGGCTGATGAGTGGTGTAGATCTGCGCCCAAGATCTGAACCTGTGAACCTGGGCTGCCGAAGCAGAGCATGCCAAACTTAACCACTATGCCATCGGGCTGGCCCCTGGCACCATTTGTTTTATTTGATAAGTATTTTAAAAAGTTATACATACATGGTTTTAGAAGTCACATCGTTTAGAAGGATTTACTATGAAAAGCATCAGCATCCCCATCCCACCCTCTTTCTTCTTCCACTGGTGTCAACTACTTTTAACTTTGTTTTTAATACTTCTAGTGATATCTAGTGATACTTTCTATATCTTAAGAAATATATGTTTTACTGCTTTTTAAAAAATAACTTTAGTCATCTATTGACTTACTCTCATGTGGGTGAACTAAATACTCATTTATACCTCTTGCCCCCTAAAGTTGTCACAGTTTTTGTTGCACTGTTAACCAAGTTGATCTTCCTGACTTCTTAAATAATATACTTAAACTTCTATTTCTTATTCCATCAACCAAACCAATGTCTAGATTCCTCATTTTGTAAAATGAGGATATTGGTACCCACGCCCTTCCTTGGAAAAACTAAAACTAAAATTTATGGCCTAAGTTAAAATACGTAGTTGCATGAATAGAAATATTCGCTAAGTTCAGTGTCTGAACACTTATGCTGAACTATATGAGAAAAGCTTGGTATAGATGTGAAGCAAATCAAAATTTAGCATAATTATTTTATTGGACAGTTACTGAATAGCCTTCTTCAAGTGGCTCAGAAATTGTGTCATTGAAACTATAGAGAAGGAAATATAAAAGACAGCACACTGCTTTGCTCTGCTGAATCATGAAAGTGTAAATGTTGTGTACTAGTGTTCAATTTCTTATGTCTATCCAGAGGACTGAAAATTTAATTATGGATCTAGAGTAGACAATATATTTATTTACTTTTATTCCTTATGTCCTAATTGTTTTTACATAATTTACAATACCTAATAAATTTTAAATCACAACCTGGGAGGCACATGCATATATGCAACTGAGACAAATATTTTCACTGCACAATATCCTTACTACAAACAGTAATTGCTTTACTAGAAGTTATACTCTGACTGTTTTCTATTCTAATTCTTTAAAAAAAAGGAGTAGGGGCTGGCCCGGTGGCATAGTGGTTAAGTTCATGCACTCCGCTTTGGCGGCCCTGGGTTCGCAGGTTCAGATCCTGGGCACGGAGTTACGCACTGCTTATCAAGCCATGCTGTGGCAGGTGTCCCACATATAAAATAGAGGAATATGGGCACAGATGTTAGCTCAGGGCCCATCTTCCTCAGCAAAAAAAGGAGGATTGGCAACAGATGTTAGCTCAGGGCTAATCTTCCTCACCAAAAAAAAAAGGGGGTAGTTGCAAACCAATAAATTGATTTCATGACGAAGGTAGAGGTGTGAACAAAGGTATAAGATTATTGCACCTTTTCAGCAGATGAAAAGTAAAGTGGAAAATAAGTTGTTATAAATTTTTCTCTTTTCACAGGACATTGGCTCTCTGGATTATCAGGAGTTTGTAGTTGACATTGAGTCCAAGCTGAGAATGGAAGGTGTGGAACTTAAGGAAGAATGGCAAGATGAAGATTTTCCAATGTGAGAAATGCTTTTAAATGAAAACAAATTTAAAACAAAATTTCAAAATTTCTCTATTGAGATGTCACTTATTAAATGAACATTGGGCTTCTTAAAGAAACCCAGTATTGCAGGGTGTTCATTTGGTACTAGGAAATGAAAGTTCCTTCCCAACAGTTAGACTAATTCTCTTGTATTTTACTTTGCAACCAAACATATATGTGATCTTCTGTAATCTTTCATTTTTGTTTTGAACATTTAAGTTTCAAAATTTTTGTTGTTTTAAACAATGCTTTAATATGGTATTTTTTAAACTAGAGTCTGAGGGGTTCCTGGGAGAAGGGGATCTTTAGGTGTCTGTAAGAATTGTTAAATTTTGTGCTTTTGTTTTAAGAAATGACTTATTAAATAAGCAAGAATTTTCTAGATCATCTGGCCGGCTAACTTGACACGTTTGCATTTGTATTTACAATTTTATTGGCACCAGTCAAGTTAAGAGAACAGGAGCAAAGGCAGACCTTATATTGAAACAATGTTTCTGTGCCATGAGGATCAGAAGACCATCTCAGTGCACAGGAAGGTCCTTTAGCAGTTGGAATATGAACAGCTGGTGGGAGTACTGAGTCATTGCATAGCACATGTTGGTAATAGTAATATAGAAATGCTGAGCTCAAAAGATTTGTAGTCATCATTACCATATTCCCAATGTGAGTGACGATTTAGCTTCATCATACATTGTGTCATACATCACATTAAATTCATGTAATGAATTATATTTGTTTTATAGGTTGTGTATACTTTTTATGTTTGTTTTATAGTTGTATTTAAGAGCAGTTACATAAGGAATTTATATATACTTTTATGTGTTGCTTATATAAATATGTAAGTCAACTCTGACAGCCTGAAAATTTTTTCTTTAAAAGTGGTTTGTAAAAGATAATACCATTTATAATTGCATCAAAAAGAATAAAATATCTAGGAATAAATCTTACCAAGGAGGTGAAAGACCTATACAATGAAAACTACAAGACATTATTGAAAGAAATCAATGATGACATAAAGAAATGGAAAGACATC